GGCGGGCGCCCCCGGCGGCGGGCCCCCCCCCCCGCCGGTCCCGGCCGGGTCCCGGCGCTCCCCGGGGCGGCGGCGGCTCGGTGGGACCCGCGGGCACTCGCTCCCCTCGGGCTAAGCCCGCTCCGCCGGCGGCGAGGGCAGCCCACCCGCTCCCGCCCTAGGCAGAAGACCCTTCAGCCCGACGCTGTCCCTGAGAAGGCAGCAAGGGCACGATCCGGGGAGGGGCTGAGCCTTCCCCACCCCTCAAGGCTGGCTACTCCGCAGGGTGATCAGGATCCGGCCCGGAGGGATGCTTGCCGAAACGCCGGGCGCTGGCTGCTCACGTCCCATCCGACTCGTGCGATGGCGCAGGAGCCCAAATCCCTCCCAGTGCTGAAACTGTCCCCGGAAAGGAAACTCTTGGTCACGTCTCTGTCCCCCCCCCCCAAGGGCAGTGAGGGACTGGGTCTCCGGAGGGTCACCCCCTCCAAAAGCCCGGGCTCTGGCGAAGTTTCGGCCGCAGGAAGGAGGACACGGTGCTGGGTTCTGCCCCTCAGACCCAGCAGCCCTTGTCTGTCGACGGGTGCCAGTGCCGGTCAGGGGAAAGAAGGGCAAGAAAGGAGCTCGGGTCTGCGAGAGGCACCCAGCGTGTGGCATCTTCCTCGTCCCAACGAAGCGAGGCTTAGTTGCAGGCTGACCCTGCGGATCTGCTGCGTCTCCGGCCCCACGCTTTCCAGACTAATTAATACGGACTCAGAAGAAGTGTATCAAAATGCTGAAGCGCTCTTCTTTTAAGGATAGTACGCTGGAAAAAAAAATCAACAAACAATCAGAGCGGAAGAAATCCAGAGAGCTTTTTTTTTTAAAAACAAAACAAAACAAAACTTTGGAAATCTGTCTTTGACCCCATTTATTTGGGTTTACCGTGATGAGAAAGGGATGGTTTTAGTCTCTTTTTTTTTTTTTCCTTTTTCCCCCCTTTTTTATCCCCGAGCGATGGTTGCCGGACTGGAGCTGAGCTGGGGAAAGCGCCGGGCAGGGCTCGGTGGCGCTCGGGAGGCGGCCGGTCCCGCCGGTCCCGCCACGCTTTTGCCGAGGACGACGAGGGCCAAACCGCCCCGCTGGAGAGACCCGCAAAGGCAACCGAAGGCAGGAGGAGGGAGCCCGCGGGGCGGGTGGCCGCACGCCCCTCGGCCCGTACCGCTCCTTCACCCGTTTTCCAACGCAAGTCGGTGGGACTGCGGCCGCGGTTCCCCCCCACTCCGCGCCCGGGCAGACACCCTCCCGCCTCCCTCCCTCCTCGACGGGGCGAAAAACCTCGTCCGACGACATCATATCGCTGCACAGCCCGCGGACCGCCGCTCGACGGCGAGCGAGGGAGGGCTGCGCACCACGGCGAGGACACAGGCGACGAGACGCAGGCGACAGCGCTGGATCCTCGCACGCGAGAGAGCGAAGCCTTCGTGTTCCACCCGCACCCGGCTGATCCCCGGCCCAAATGCTGGCTCAAAAGCCCCCCCGGGAGGCTGGTCGCGGCCAGCGTGTCCGCCTCCGTGACCCGCGCCCCCTCCCCGGGTGCCCCGGCTGCCGCGGAGCGCATCGCCGCTCGCTTGTGCCCCACCTCACCCCCTATCGCCCCCCAAGGGACCCCCCGGAAAGTGAGGAGCTGGCCCCAGGCCTGGAGCGGCCTCTGGTTTCCGTGTGGCACTTGGCCTCGCCTTCGGCGTTTCGGTGCATTAACCCGGGAGTGAGGATCGGCTGGGGACGGGCAGGGTGGGCAGCCGCTCGGGGGAACTCCGGGGGCTTCTGAAACGTCTTGTCGGTGTGTTGTAGTGACCGGGAGGAACGGGAGAGAGAGAGGTGGAAACGTACGGACAGCAAAAGAGATGGAAGAAAGGAGAGGAGAAAGGGAAAGAGAAAAGGAAAGGGGAAAGGGAAAGGGCGGGAAGAGAAAGAAAGGAAAGAAAAGGAAGGAAGGAAAGAAGGAAGGAAGGAAGGAAAGAAGAAAGGAAGGAAGGAAAGAAGGAAGGAAGGAAGGAAAGAAAGAAGGAAGGAAGGAAGAGAAAGTAAGAGAAAGAAAGAGAAAAAGGAAAAGGCAAAGAAAAGGGAAAAGAAAACAGGATAAAGAAAAAGATACCCAGACAGACAGATTGCCCGCAGAGGCAGCGTTTCACCGTCGGGGCTGGGGAGATGCTCCTCCTGGCAAGCAGGGCCAGGAGGGGGAAAGCGAAGGCTGTGCCTCTGCGGTGCCGGGCAGTCTCCGGCGCCGCGGCCACCGAGGTCTGTTCCGCTTGAGAGAAGCCGAAATGTTTAGGGGACGGGGCACAAAGGGCATTGTCCTCTGAAAGGGAACGATTACATATGGCCCATACATATCGGATATTGTCTCGCCGCGTAATGAGGGGCTCACGATCATTAGATTGGCCTTTGTTCGGTGCAGCCGACTCCCTGACATACGCTACCTCCCCTGCAAACGCCAACAGATGGGCCCCCCGACAGACGACTCGCGGCGGCAGCTGCTCCCCCCCGGCGCCCCGTCCGCGGCAGCGCAGCCCCGACCGCGCACCGCGCACCGCACCGGCCCCAGCGCCTTCCACCGGGGGCGGGCGGCAAGGGGCTGCCCACACCCTTACGCGACTAAGGTGGCTGTGTTTTTTCCCTCCTTCTAGTTCGCTCGTTTAAACACCAACAACCCCCCCCCCGGTACTGTTTCGGGTTTTTGTTTTTTGGATTGGGTTTTTTTTTTTTCCCCCTCCCTCCTTCTACTTCTTCCAGGAAACCAAACCTTGCTCAAGAAACCACAGCGTTATACAATTCTGTGCGCTGCGGGCCCTGAATAGTGGAATCATTACAGACAGAGTGGCGTTTAATGATTCCGTTTGAAGAAGAGTTTTCACTTCCCCAGAACTAAGGATTTCACAACGCGGGGAGAGATTTAGAAAAAAAAAAGGGGGGGGGTGTGCATTAAAAATAGTGTGTTCTCTTCTGCTTCCTTTGACCTAAACTGCCTCCCACAGCGAGTTGCACTTCAATAAAGCGCACACTGATGATCTGCCCCGGCCCCGCTCGCCTCTCCGCTCGGCCTGCTCGGCCGGGGCCAAAACAAAGGCGAAAGCTCCGCGCCGGGCCGCGAAACGCCGCGGAACCTGCGCGCAGGAGATGCTGGGGGCGAGGGCCCGCTCCTCCGCCAGCCCTGCCGAAGATTAAGGGAAAACTCTCTGCAACCGCCTTCCC